ACTGAGCTACCGAGCCCGGCTGCAAAACCTTTTTTTTAAAGCTGGGGTCTCACTCTGTCACCCAGCCTGGAGTACAGTGACACAATCATGGCTCACTGCAGTCTTAACTTCCTAGACTCAGGCGATCCTTCCACCTCAGCCTCCCAAACAGCCGGGACTATTTATTTTTCGTAGAGATAACGTCTGGTCTTGAACTGCCAGTCTCAAGCAATCTTCCAGCCTTGGCCTCCCAAAGTGCTAGGATTACAGGCATAAGCCACCAAGCCCAGTTCCTAAAATGGATTTTTAAAGGCAATGCCATTAGGAAGAGGTGAAACAAATTCAGTCAAAAGAGATTTAAATAACTCCTCTTATGTTTTATAGAATTTAGCAGTTAACAAAACCCTTTCACATACATCGGATTATCAGATCTTTAAAGCACTGGGAAACACTGTCCAAACTATAGAGTTTCTGAACTATTCCAGCAATTGTGAGCTTCCAGAACTCCTTGTCTTTACACCGATTTGGGGATGAGCTAAGCGCTCTTCACAAAATTGTCTTCATTTTGATGAACTCATATTGTCATTTTTCTTATTTGTCTATTCTCCTAAACAGGAGGACAGGGACGCTGTCTGATAGTGCCTTGACTACGAAAAATGCTAAATAAATCTATTAATCAAAGGGTGCTCTTCCAGAAATGTGTTTGAGTATCTGAAGTTCAGCTTAGCCTGTTCCTGCTTATAATGGTGATTGATCGCCAATATTTCATCTGTAAATCCATTGCCATTTCTCATCTCACACTCCTAGATGGGAACAAGGGTACATTCTGGAAAAGACTCAGCATTTCAGGGGACTTACCATTTATAGCTCCCTGTCGTCATACCAGGAGGCCAATCTTCTAAACTGAGTAGAAGCTCAGCTAAATGGGATTTCCTGGTTCCAGGGCTCAAGTAAAAACCAGAAGCCAAAGTGGGAAGAGATTCCTGATAGGAAACAGTTGCTGGGTCTGGATTGATTTTGAATTAGAAAAGTCATATGCTTCTAAGACAAGGAACCGCAAAACAAATCCTTTCTATCCCCATCACTGAAAGACATGCAAGTGAGCCAGAAATTCAACAGAATTCCTGGGAAGACAATTCAACAACCTTTCTCTTCTTGCATCCTTCTAGTACCCTGACCATGCAACAATAAAGCTTAAATTCTTCGAAATAATGAAAAGATTTTAGTCACTTTTAATTTGTTTTGGCTACTTAGCTAAGAAAGTAATGCATGAAGTTAAATCAAATTCATGAGTTTACCATCTAAAATGTACATAGAGTTTACAGTTTAGAAAGCAATTTGAAATATATTATCTCATTTAACTTGCTTCTTTCAACAGCCCTGTGAGAGAGATGCAATAAACATTACAGTCCTCAAATGACAAACCATGTAAAAACGTTTGTGATCTGGAAAGTACTTTACATAAATGAGCACTGCTTTACAGACAGGAAGCCAGAGGCAGCATGTGACTTGCTCAAGGTCACATAGTTAAGGGGAAAGCCAAGACTCAAACCAAGGGCTCTTGGCTTAAATGTAGTACTTCAGCCTGGTTTGTCCACACATGAGCTAATTTTGGGTAGAGAAAAGATGCTTCATAGATGCAAACTCCTAACCCATATGGTCATCTCAAAATCATGTGCCATGGGGAATTAGGCAAATTGATATAGATGGCTTAGCAAAACTTATCACTCCTGGAAAAATTTAGTATCACTATTTCTGTTTGCAATATCAAGCATCTTTTTAGAAACTCTTGAAGAGAATATTTACAAAAGGAGACATGAACAGCTACACTTTAGCCCATATTTCAGTAACAACTGATTAACACTAAAAGATAAAGGTTAGCTGCAAATATTTTCTGCTTTCTATGGACCCAGGAGTCACTCCCCAGCGGGAGGGTGCGGGGGCAGAAGACTGCCAAATGAATAGTCCAGTCTTCTTTACTCTGAGTCAGTCTCTCTTCAAACACTTGGTCTTCTATCTCATGTCGCTTATCTTCCAGAGAATACCTATCACCTGGGAAACCTTCTCTAGTTGACCTCATTTTGACTACATTTGAAATCAACACATGAATTTGAAACAAGCTGAAATGGAAGGCTTTATACTTACTGACACATTCATTCACATTAATAATCATGTTAAGTGTTTCTTGAGTACTTAACACACGATATACTAAGCTGGACACACAGGACATAACATAGCAAACCAAACTGTCCCTGCCTTCAGTCTAGTGCTGCTGTTACGTGGTCTTCAAAAGTCTTACATATGTCCTAGGCCCCCAGTTAGATTTTGCTCTCAGCCGGGCTCGGTGGCTCAGCCTGTAATCCCGCGCCTTCAGGAGGCTGAGGTGAGTGGATTGCCTGAGCCCGCGGGTTCCAGACCCGCCTGGGCAACTTGGCGAGACCTCATCTCTACAATAAATAAAAAATTAGCCGGGCGTGGCACCGCGCACCTGTAGTTCCAGCTACTTGGAAGGCTGAGGCAGTGGAAGGATCGCCGAAGCCCAGCAGGTCGAGGCTGTGGTGGGGGAGCAGCCAGTGTACTCCAGTCTGGGCAACAGAGTGAGACTCTAACTCCAAAAAAAAAAAAAAGAAAGAAAGAAAAAAGATTTTGCTCTCTGAGCAAATACTGGACACCTGCATTTTCTGAAACACTTTTATAGCACCTCCCACTAGGATCTCTACATGGCAAACTGATCACCTACAAGAGAATCCTCAACTCCATAATCTGCAGCATTTTATTCCATTCAATCCCTCTGGTATGATTTAAGATTGTGAATTGAATTATTTAAAATCCACAGGGTCTTGAGTCCAGGTTATCAAAAGATCCAATAGAATAAGCCTACAACTAAGGGGGCAAGATTCAATGCAGCTAGCTGGGGATATCTAGAAGGTGACCTGAATCCTAGCACTGACCCACCAGGAAGAGTGGAGGTGAGGAATGTCCTCATCCCACAAGGGAAAAGGATGCTTTAACTACAGAACTTACAGATACAGCCCCAAGACTGTTAAACAGAAAAGTGCAAAGGAACAAACCTATACTGCCAAAGAGCATCTGATCCTCCTGTCAAAGTCAGAATAAAATCTACAGAACCAGTATACAAATCTAGACATGGTGGGGCAATGAAAAGAGGCACAGGCGTAGAAGCAGAAGACCTGTGTTTGAGTCCAGATTCCACTGCTAGTCAGGCAAAATGGCACTGGGCAAGCCAAGTAGCCTCTCTGAGCCTCAGTTTCCCTTTCTGTAAAATAGGAAACAACCGATTTGTCTACCTCACAGAAACACTGTAAGGTTCAAATAAGATTCAGTCTATGAACCCAATCAGGAAACTGTAACGTGTGAAAATCCTGAGATCTGTGGTTATGAGGATACCCAAATTCCCAGAGGAATGTCTCACATTAACCCAGGAACCCTCACCACCTCCTCCTCCTTGCATCCCCCAACACCAGAGCTTCCATCTTCTGACATCCCTGAAATAACAGAACGGTTCATCATCTCAATCGTAAAAAGCCAAGTGCACTAATTCCCAAATTCCTAGATGAAAAGGGAAGAAGGGCAGCCGTGTAGACCATTCCAGCTCCTAACCTTGACAAGCCTCAGTTCTTCCTTTCCAAGGGTCAAACCAGACAGGCCAACAGAAAGGGGCAGGAGGTCTGAACCAGCCATAGATCCTTTGTGGCTGTCTGCCTCCTCTTCCCCACTGCCAAGTCAGTTCCCTGTCTAGGGATTGCTGAACTAATCTAAACGGGGCTCTGAGGCAATGCGGAGATTAGTGTTTGGGAGAGAGAGATTATATGCATTTTAGGCCACATTCCACAGCCAAAAGGAAATTATTATTAGCATGAATAACCAAAAGTTGACTGGACACAGAGAGAGCAACTGCTCCCTTGAAAATACTCTTCCCTGTCTCTCCAATTATATTTTTTCCAGGCCCAGTCCTTTCATTTTCTTGTTCAGTCTTCCTCCAACCATCCAACCATCCTGTTAGGATGTGTGCAGCGCCCATAAAACACACTCCCCAGATTCTCAAAGAGAGAAGGGTCAGGGAGGGGTGGGGAGGGAAGGAAAAGGCAGGCAGCTTATAAAGTTGTATCAAACCTTTGGAGGAAAGAACTGCAAGGAGACTATAGTGTTACTGGGGATAGGAGAGGTTGGACAGACTCTTGGGGGAAGGAAGGGGCATCATGTGTTCTGACTCTAGGGGCCAGTGCCTCTGCCCAGCAGCCCTACGAGCCCAAAACAACTCCTTCTGGCTCTAGGCAGAGGGAGGGCCCATTTTGCAGAGTCAAGCTTATTAAGAACAGCTTGGAAGATTAAACTTAGAGCATCAGCTGGTAGGCAGGTCTCAAACCTTTCGCTTGAGGGGAGGAAATTCTAATGTGACCCATGCATTTTGGGGCCACATCAGCCGCTGGTAAAAAATCCAGACCTGTAATGGGTACTAAGGGTGTTGTTTCTGTCCCATCATTCAGGCCAAGAACATCCTCCTCATTCTAGAAATGGGATCCACCCCATCACCAAAACCCATCATTCTATAACAACCACTCTGGTGGAGGCCCATGCCCCTGCTAGGGCCCTTCCCCCAGCAGTTCCAACACCTAAAGCCAGTTCCGGTCCACCTCTGAGGGCTCACATGATCAGGCGTGTGCCCACTCGAGGCTGGCACGGTGAATTTGAGACCCAAATTCAGCCTCTAGCTTGGCAAAATTCAAAAGCCACTGGAAGCCTGTCCCTCTATTTCCCCTCTCCTGGCTTCCTTGTTAATTGCTTATATTAAAAAGACGCTAAATCAAGAGGTATGTCTTATACATGGATACACACAGACCATGAAGACACATGCTGACAGTCCCCAGAGACCCAAAGCTCCTACCCCACCAATTCTCACAGCCCACCAGACCCTTATTTTGCAACCTTTTATCAGAATGCAACACCATCTCTCCCAGTCTTTATTAAGTGTTGAAAAACCAAATGATTAGCAAACCTACCTGTCTATACTCTGGGGTAGCCTTACACTCATGGTTTCTCGGTATCTCCACAGATCCAGATCCTGTAGCTTTGGTGTCTTGATCAGAATTGAACTGCTTGCGATTTTTAAGGAAGGTGAGAGGAGGCCCTCCCAACTTGAAGACTTGAATCCTTTTCTCCAGCTCTCAGGACCCTGGTAACTGATGCTCCATACTACTTCGACCAGTTAACATGGTCTTTCTAAGCCCCCCCTTCTCTTCCTCCCTCTTGAAAACAAAACAAAACAAACAAACAAACAAAAAACCGAAAGGAAAAGAGGAAAGACTGTGACCTTCTTAGAAACCAAAAACCCAACCACAAATCTCTTCAAGGTTAGCAGTATGGGCTAAAAAAAAAATGAATCACAGCAAGAATGTGCCTTCAAAATATCACTCTTAACTGAAAAATACACATAAAACCATCCTTTAAATCCAGTTTTCCCAGCTGTTCTTCGGTTGGCAAGAGAGACTCTAGCTCCAAAGAGGAAAAAAAAATAATTTTCTGGTCTCCAATGCTTAAAATGACAACCGCGGATATATTAGAGAGAAGAGGGGGAGGATGAATAAATCCGAAATGGCACTTGGAAAAAAATCTTGCAGATGATTTGCACAGTAAAAAAAAATAAATAAAACCATACAATAGTATGTACACAACAGCACTCCTTCCAAGTCCAGGACAACCCTGGGAACCAAAATCTATGGTTTTCCTTTTAAGAAAAAAAAGCTTTTACATTAAGGTTTTGAAATCCTTAAATGAGCCAACTGCACCAAAAGAGAGAGAGAGAAATCAAACAACACCTGAAATGCACTGCTTTTTACCTTTAAAATGGTAGCAATAACCACCACCCAGAGAGAAACCTCTGAAAACAGTGTCTCCTTTTCTTTTTCCTTTAAGCTTGCAGGTTCCTCCACCTACCCCAGCCTGGTTCTCGGACCCAAGCTACGTTCGGCCTTTTTCTGAAAGACAATTTCCTGAGTTAGTTCTGCTGTTTGGCTCCTCCGCATCCAGGCTCCGAAAATTCCTCTCGCCTCAGCCTCCATGAAACGGAGATCTCGCTGCCTCCCGTCCCCTCCTCTCTCTCTCTCTCTCTCCCGGCCGGAACGCGGCTCTCCGGTGGCTGCTCGTGTGGATTACGGCTGTGGGGCTGAGTTCGGGTGGGCTCTTCCTCCACACCGGCCTCCGGGAGGACCCGCTCGCCTAGG